ATAAGATGTTAGCTCTGGTTTTTCCCTCTTGTCTCTTCAATCCCTCCCTTGCTCCTGGCTGATTCCTTCTGGAGGACATATATACTGAATGTTCGCTTTGCTTCAAAGAAAAAAAACACCTTCCCGGTGATCCTGTTCCTCTCTCGAAGAGTGTTATTCATTTCCTCACCGTCCACCATCCACACCTTCCCTCCGAAACCGCTCCTTCAAACGTAACCCACCGATCCATAAGACCAGGGTGAATTTTCACCTTTGTGTGTCCCCTAACACTGGTTCAGAAACCTCAAGGAATTATCCATTTTTCACGGGTTCTCTCTCCTAATCCCCCGTAATCACTTGTCTCAAGTTCTATGACTTCCGGTTCTTAAATGGATCCCATATTCAGCCTCTTGTCTATGACAAGTCCTGACCCACGTGAACCGAGCTGAGGGTCTCATCATCACGGACCAGGACCAGGACCAGGACCAGCAGCCTCCCGAGTGTCCCTTGCTCAGGTGCATCCCCAGTGGTCCAATGGAGTCTTAGCAGGGCCTCCCATCACCCCCTGATCAACACCCACAGAACCGTACGCTGCAACTGAATGAAGTCCTCTTTATTATGCGTTTACTATGCTTCTCAAGGTCCTCCCCAGTGCAGCCACAACTGTCTTTATCACCCTTATCGATGCTGCCATGGACCCTACTCTTCATATAGTATCAGTGGAAAGAGGGGGAAAAAAGCAGATTTAAGAGCCATTTCTGAGATAGATAAATGGGTACAGAGTAGGGGCGACAGAAAAGAAGGCATCAAGAGGGACCCCAGGACTCTGGTTGCAATGACGAGATGATGGAGAAGCCAGGCCCTGAAGCAGAGCTGGGGGGCGGCGAGGACTTCCATGTAGGGGTGCTGTGCTGGAGGCCCCCTGGGAGCATCTGGTGGAGGGGTCACAGGCTCGTGGACACACTGATCTACAGCCCATGGCACGCAGAAGCCCCTCCGAGACGCTAGTCCTCTTCATTTTGGAGAGGTCCTCAAGTTTAAAAAAAAAAAAGAAAGAACAATTCTCCTGTTCTCTTTCAATAGAAGTATCTGATTTCTTCCACGTAATTTTCTCAGTGTCTTGTTTTCTTTCCTTCTTTCTTTCTTTCTTTGCCAAGAGAAGTGTGTTTCCCACTTTTTGTGCATAAGAGTTTGCAAAATCCTGTGATGCTATCTTTTGTTATTATCATTCATAATAATGATGACAATAATGACTATCTTAATACATTCTTTGAACGCTGTTTAATTTCATTTTTTCAAATCAGCAAGGGTTCCCTTGGTAACAAGTTACGCCCTCTTCCCTGGGTGGCTCGATTCTGGGGGTAAAAGTTGTATGATGCAAACCTAGCCGACAATTATTTTTAAATGAACCCATCATTTCCAAATAATTTACAACCTACCTCAGACCTACGATATTTCTGTAAGAAAGGAACACAACATTTAAAAACAAAAATGCCCGCAAAAACCTGACAGATCAGCCATGGAAATGTTAATAGTTATTACCTGGGTGGCAGTATCAAGGAAAAATTTCCATTTTTATTTTCCCTTCATTTATCTATAGCTTCTACTTTGCTACAGGTGAAACGTTTTATTTGCGTAATTTACTTGCAGGGTAGAGCAGTGCCCCCAAAGGCAGAGCCAACACCAAGACAAGAAGTACGAATGCAACGGCCACACAGACAAAAGTGCCTTCGAGACCAGAACCACCAAAGTACCAGAAACACGAGACCAGAACCACTGAAATCACAGTCAGAGACCAGAACTGCTAGCCCGGGCTCTCAGACTAGAGCCAACACGTCTGATTTCAGTATCAAGATAATCATGGGGACCTTTCCCAATATGAAAAACATTGCATTTGAGGGCCCAGAGCTGATGACCAAGAGGCGTACCCCGTCTTCTTAAGAGAGGTACCAACATCAAACAGACATCTTCCTTAGAGCTCACTAAGAAGAGGCAGGTAAGCCCTGTTACCACCGGCCTCCCCCCCCCCTTCCTCATCCCTAAGAACTTAGATGCAGTGAAGGAAAAGACGATCGCTCACAGAGATTGAGGGGTGCCGGCAAGGAGAGAATGGCGGGTTCAATTCCCGGTCAAGGGCATGTACCTGGGTTTCAGGTCTGATCCCCAGCCCCGGTTGGGGTCGTGCAGGAGGCAACCAACTGACGTGTCTCTCTCACATCGATGTTTCTTCCCCTGACTCCTCTTTTTCTCTCCCTCCCTCCCTTCTACTCTCTCTAAAAAAAATCAATGGAAAAATATCCTCCTATCCTCAGGTGAGGATTAACAAAAAAATAAAATAAAATAAGGAAAATCCAGTCATTATTAAGTTGGCACATCCCACACTCCCTGAAAAGGTGTAGTTTTTTCTTTCTTTATCAATTTTAGAGAGAGAGGGAGGGAGTGGGAGAGAGAGAAACATTGGTTGGCTGCCTCCTGCATGCCCCCCACTGGGGATTTGGCCCACAATCTGGGCATGTGCCCTGACCAGGAATTGAACCAGTGACCTCATGGTGCATGGGTTGATGCTCAACCACTGAGCCACACCAGACAGGCCTCAAACTTGTATTAATTTTCCACCAGCCACCTGGTGGCAGTACTAATAAGACAAGGGGACATATTAAAGAACACTTTAAAGACCCTCAAACACCAAAATGCCAAGAAACCTCAGAGGGCCAGCTGTGAATCACACTCAGGCTGTCCCTAGAGAGATACTCAAGTGTCAAGTCCCCAGGGCCCGGGACTGACCTACTCTTCACCAGAATTCTCCCAGGGCCCCACGTGACCTCTTCCTGGCCAATCCTGTCCACACCTGCAGGAACCTCCCCTGAGAAGACCAGGCCCCGCCCCTTCCGGCCTCTGCAGCATCTTCTCTCCTCAGCTGATGCCTCCCCAGTGCCCCCTACAGCCACACAGAGAAACTACAGGCCCTGAGCTTGTTTCAGACTAGTTCTCCATCGGGAACCTTTACTGAACACTCATTACATGCCAGACACTGTTTTTGTTTGTTTTTTGTTTGTTCCTTTCTTCCACTCCACAATGGTCCAACTGCTCCGAACAACTCTATGAGTTGGACACGGCCCCCTCTACAGATGTGGAAACGGAGATGCAGAGATGTCTGCGTGACAGGTGGTGACGTGGCGGGGCTGGGATTCGAACCAGCGGGCGCTGTGCAGGATGAGCACCGCCGGCCTGAAATCTCCTTTTACGACCTTCTGTGCACACTGCCCCATACATGGAAGCACACTGCCAGGGGCACACAGATATGGAAAAGTCCAAAAGAGGTTAAGTGAGTGATTCAAGCTGGGTACACACTGCCCTTGGCCAAAGGTCAACAGACTGCCTTTAAGCACATTCAGATTTTATAGGGTGAAAGGAAACAACGTAAACCCTGTCGTGAAGTCTCAGCCCCATCTGACCAGAACAAACTGCCGAAGCTCTTACAGCCTGCTCCAGAGCAGCTGATGGGCGGAAACGCAAGTGTCTACTTTTTTGCCACACACGACACCTCGCTGACCGGGAAACCATAAAAATCACTGAAAATACTTAACTCTCGTTCTAACAAAAGATCTCTGTTAAATATGATTATAGAGCAGCACCAATAAAATGGGATAATGAGAGAGAAGATGCACTATGCTAAGCAGTTCTCGTGAGTCACAGAAATCATGGGACGATGGAGCTGAAAGAGGCCTTGGAAACAGAGTCCAAGAAAGGCAGAGAAGTCTGATTAATGTGCCCAGGTGGATTTCTTTATTCGTGTGTGCATGCAGACTGAAAAGACCCTACTAAGTGCCAGGCCTTTTGCTAGACCCTGAGGGTACACAGGCCACCAAGCCATGTGCCTAGTTCTCTAATGAGAATTACATCTGCAAGGAGGTGGCTTTGTTGTTCTAATTCTCACGAGATACCATAGGGGCTAGCCTGCTCTAATTCACATAAGATACAGATGAGGTAGCAGCAGCCCTCCAGATACTGACTAAGATGTGTTCTAGACCTTTGGATCTGGGGCTACAAACTGCCTGACCATATCCAAGCTACACACACATTTGTCTGACTTCCCTTGCTTTAAAAACTACGAGATTGCGTAGGAAATCTGGCTGATCCAGCCATGCTAAAAAATCAGAAAATCTGGCAATCATGGGCTTGCGTCCCCACTTGGCGAGGATCAGCTGGAGCTGGGTAGAGGTGGCTCTGAAGAGATGAAGCCTATGCCATCCACTTTGCCACTGTCTCCACCACTCCCTACTGTCTCTCAGGCAATGCTAGCTTCACTCCTTTGAGTCTGCCTGTCGGCAAATGAGGATGCAAGACATAAACTGGGTCCTCCCAGACTAGTGGGAAAGACAGGTCTAAAGAAAAGACTGCAGCCCTGGCCGGTTTGGTTCAGCGGTTGGAGCATCGGCCTGCGGTCCAGAAAGACCTGGGTTCGGTTCCCGCTAAGGGCGCGTACCTCAGTTGCAGTTTGTCCCCGGCCCTGGTTGGTCGTGCGGGTGGCAGCCACTCGATGTGTCCCTTCACATCGATGTTTCTCTCTCTCTTCCTCTCTCTCCCTCCTGCTCTATCTGAACAAAAAATAGAAAAATATCCTCCGGTGAGGATAAAAAAAAATAAAAAATAAATAAAGAAAAGACTGCAAAACAGGGTGGTTATGTGTTGACAGGAGTAAACTCAGAATATTTGATGGCTGAGCTCTGCCCATTCTTTGCATCCTGGCCTCTAGCAGCCCAGCCTCTACGGGGCACATGCAGGCAGACATTCTAAACCGAAAAGACCTAGACCATCACTGCCCTGAGCCATCACTGGCACATGGTACCCACCGTGGTATTAAGGCCCTTGCTCACAGAGATACCATTTGCTGGAGGTAAGAAAGTTATATTCTCTTGGGTACAGTATTAACACGAATCTCAGCACATCTCAGGTGATCGAGACTAGGGCTCCTAAGTAAACAGAGGCATGCCTCCCATTCCTTTTCCCCTCCCCGTTACCTGCAGGACAGCAGACAGCACGAACACCATCCATGTCAGCAGCCACCAGGGGCTCCTCCAGGAAGCCATGGGGTCCGGTGTTCTCACTTGTAGCCTGTAAAAGAGGAAATACTCTGTTTCCAACCAGCTCTGGACCCAGGTGCAGCTCCCAGGACTAACAGACCAATCAGAGGAAGATTGGAAAGGTTTTTGTCGTCCAGAAATGGGCTCCCTACTCCAGGGCACGGGCTGCCTGGGACTCTCTTTTGGATGAGAGTCCACACCAAGGTCGGGAGGGCAGCTGGGCCTGCCTCAAGCATGCAGCCCACACTTCCAGCCCTCCAGAAGCTGAGGCATCTCTGCACCCGCTACTTTTCAGCTCATTTGTCAGCAGCAGGGTGTGGCTATTGGCAACCGACTCAGGAAGCCAATATGGAGCCAAGGGTTCGGGCACCTGCCAGCTTCTGCTACTTCAGGCAAAACTGAGTCTAAGGCCAACTAAGCCAGCCCAAAGAGGGGAAGGGACCTGCCTAAGGTCACACAGCAAGAGAGCGACTATTCCAGGACTGGAATGCAAGTCTTCTGAAAGTCTCAGGCTCTCCCCACCAGCTGACACCGCGCGCCCTCAGAGCCCCAGGGCTGCAGCCAGACAGGCAGCCGACGGTCTCCCCACGCGGGGAGGGCGACCCAGCAGAGGCTCAGTGACACCCGGAGGGCGGCGGGGGTTTTCTTGGGAGTTCTCCTGAGAGTTCCCAGTGAAATCAGTATAAGCCGAGACTGGAAAAGCCGAAGTCACCCTCGCCCCGCGCTTCGCCTCGCGGGCGCCTTGGCGGAGCCGGTGTCCGGGGGCGGGTCGGTGGCTCCTCTCCATCTGGAGAAAGCATTAAGGGCCTGGCCTAATGCGATCTGCAAATGTGCTGCTGCTTCCGACCTGGGGCGGCGACTCCCGGCTGCAGGAAGGCGGCCGGGCCGGGGCCGCGCGCCCCTCGCTCGCTCGCTGGCACAGCCGCCCCGGCGCACAGCCTCCGCTACCCGCGGCCACGCCGTCGCTCCTCCGGCGCCCCGCCGCGTCCCTGTCACCCCGCGCCGCGCGCGTCGCCTCAGCCCTCCGCCCTCCAGGCGCTCGGACCAGCGCGCGCGGCCAACCTGGGACCTGACGACGCTCGAGGCTCGGGCTGCCGCCCGCCCGTTTCTACCTAGACGCCCCCAAAGCTGAAAGGCCCCCCCTCCCGAAACCCTCCAGAGCGCCCCTCGGCCCGCACAGAGCCCCGCACGCCCCTCCCCGAGGCCTCTGGACCCCAGAAGGGGCTGTGTTGGGCGTCTTGGGTCTCCGTGTTGCCCAGGCGCTGGCACCTTTATTTTCAAGCCTGGGTGGTGGAAGGTGGGTAGGGCGCCCCGGCCTCGCCGAGCCCGGGCTCGGGTCTTACCGCTGGGAGAGCCGCCCTCGCCCGCGCCGCGACCTGGCCTCAGAGCGTCTGGAGCCCGCAGCCCCGGCGGCGCGGGCTGGGCGCGCGCGAGGACAGGCGGCCCCGGCGACACCTGGTGCGGACTCCGCCCGGACCTTCTCCGACGCCGCTTCCAGCCGCCGCGCCGCCGCCGCGAAGTTAAATGGGGCCGAGCCGGCCGCCCCGCCCCCCCGCCCCTCCCGGCGGCGCAGCGCTGGCCCCCGCCCAGGGCGCAGGGCGCGCGCCGCCACCTGCACCGCCCGGCCCGGCAAGTGCACGGCGTCCGCCCGCGCGGGGTCGTCGGCGCGCAGGGACCGCGAGGGGCCGGCCGGGCGCTCGCAGCGCGCGGGGCCGCGGCGACGGCGAGACGCGGCTGGAACGCTCCTCCGCCCGCTTCCTGGAAGCCACTCCTCGCCCGGGCCGGCCGCCAGGCGCGGTGCCAGAGCCGGGGCTGCCGACGCCGCCGGCGGGCGCGCTGGGGAGAGGCGGCCGCGCGCGAGCCAGCCGGGCGCCCCGCCTCCCCGGCGCGGGGATGCCGCCCCGCCCCCAGCCGCCCCGCCCCGCCGGGCGCCGGCTCTGCGCCGCCAGGCCCCGCGGCCACACGGACGCCTGCCCGGAACCGCTGGCTCGTGCCTGGGCTCGGGCGCTCCCGGCCAGGCAGGACCGACGTCGGAGGCCAGTGCCCCGCCCGGCGCCCGGCACACGGGCCGCGGACTCCAGGGAGCTCGCTGCCCGCCGGACCTCTGGCTGCCAGGGACCGCGAGCGGCCCGGGAGAGCCACCTCTTGGCCCGGAACCTGGTGCCACTGCCCATGAGCCCGGGTTGTGTAACGGTTCTGCAGCTGCCCCAGTCGTGGGGCGCCCGGCCCGTGACTTGCGATGGGAATGCCGGTGTCAGGGACGTGGGTGAATTTCCCGCGGACTTCTGGAGGTGAAGCGAACCAAGGCGAAATGGTTGTCGCGGGCACTGGCCCAATGTCAGCAGCATAAAGCCAAGGGCCAGGGGCTTGCTCAGAAAGCCAGCTGTATGCCCCACCCAAGTACCACGGTCAGCATTTCCTTGGGTGCAGAGTGTGTGCCGGCCACGGTGCGGACTTCCTTGTGGTGTCAGTTACTAGCATCGTTCCCATTTCACCTACTAGGACACAGGCTCCGGGGACCAATAACCCGAGCGCACAGAGTTGCAAAGCCAGAATTGGGGCCTGCAACTCTTCTGAGGTTGGTCTTCTGCCTCTTCTGTGGTTGGCACATTCCAGGTGGTCAGAGCTCTACCAAGAGAAACTGGCCCTGCCTGCCTGTGTGCTTAGGGTCCCTTCCTCACTCTGGTGACTTCCTCTTGCCAAGAGGTCCTCCTCAAGAACCTCTGCCCAGTTCATGCAAGATAACTAGAATCTGGTGGGAAGTGAATGGAGCCAAGGGGGAGGAGGTGAGGAGACCAATCAGTGAGGGGCAGGGAGGACTGGGCTAAAGCTGACTGAGCCCACCTGTGTGCAGGTGCGTCTCCTTAGACACCATACTTGTGTTCTATACAGTCGTTGAATTTGTGTACACGGAACCATTGCTTCTGGGGGAAATATAGGGTTAGATTCCAGCTGACCTCTCATCACATTTTTGTCAACCGATCCACACATAACCTTATTGGATGTGTGTTTCTCTTTCAAAACGTGTTATTTAACCTGTACTGGTGGTTCACTAACATTGAACTCACAGGTGGCCAGCACTGTACCTCATGCCTGAAGGAAGCTGATCTAACACAGGTATCTCACCTAACAACGATTTTCTCCAGAGGGCACATGCCGGCCCTCTTCTGCTTAGGAGCACCAGACAACATCTGTACTGCGCTTGGGGGCCATGTAAGCAGTGAAATCACCAATAAAAAAGACAAAAGTGTGAAAAGTCCTATGACATAGGCCATGAAAGGACACTTACTTGTCCAGGCCCTGGCTGGATAGTCAGTTGGTTAGACCATTGTCAGGATACACCAAGGTTGCAGGCTCGATACCCAGTCAGGGCACATACAGGAATCAACCAATGAATGCATGAATAAGTGGAACAGTAAGTCAGTCTCTCTTTCTCTCTCTCTCTCTCTCTCTAAAAATCAATAAATTGGACACTTGCGGACAAGAAGGCTGAGTATTGTCCGGTTCCATCTCAGCTGGGAACATAATTGCAGGCAGGCAACTCAAAGTTCTCACCCCTCACCAAATGACCACAACAGGGCTGACCCGTCCCGCAGGTCGAGCAACGAGGACTCTAGAGGGGGAGTGAGGATGAGGAGGGACAAGAGACACGAGAAATGGAGACAAGACAGGATTCTGATCAAGTCTCGTTTATTCAGGGGGAGTTCACATAAGATATAGGGGGAAAACAGGTGAAACAGTTAATGAGTATCCCACCTGAAGCAAATTCCAGTAAATACCCCAGGTGGAACAAATGATAAGCAAAGAATGGAGTAAACAATTATCTAGAGGAATGCAGACACTGTATGCAGAGAGACTCCGTCCTGGGGCCGGAGACAGCAGAGCAGACTTTAACAAGGTGGATGCAATGCAAATGGTCTCCCACACAGGGCTACAAATAAAATCTAACCAGTAGGTGAAGTCACAAATATGGAATCTGCAACTAACAAGGACCGACTGGATGTGCTTCTCCTAGCAGGGTATCGGGAGAGGAATAATGATAAAAATCTCAGAACACGTGATGCACCAGGCACTGGACGTGTATGAACTCAGTCACGACTAGGCAGGTCCACTCCCCACTCCGTCTTACAAACGAGGAACCTGATGTAAGAAAGGTCTAACACCACGTGTTCTCGGCAACTAGACTCTACCACTGTTCACATTCTAAAACCACCCCTGGCATATCATGGGGTCTGTTGCAAAAATCATATGAATATTCAAGGTGAAATGGAGAATTCAAAGAGATATTATGCTTTGCAGCGGCAGCTGTGTTGAACTGAGTTCCCAGGGCTTGCAATTCAGGAAGGCGCTCAGAAGGCCTTTGGAGTGGGGGGCTCCTTGGGGAACAGTGGAGCTGCTCTGCTCAAAGGTATGAATGGCTGGGCAGGACTTCCTGTCCCTTCTTCCCCTGGGCAGTTTGGATTCCTCAGCCAGCCTCCCTCTTGGGAGTGCCCCACATTAAGTATGGAGGCCAGGACTGCGCCTTTCTCTCCCCCTTGGTCTTAGTATCCAGCCAGCCCCTCAAGAAACAGTTGGTCAGGACAGAAAGCAGAAGAGAAGCCATCACCAGTACCCTGATGGAAGCTCCATCCTCCCTAGAAGGTCAACCAGTCCTACACGTGCAGCTAACGGATGACAGGGAGCCACAGAGTGTGCACAAAACCAGTGCCCTGGGAAGAATACATTTCCTAGTAGTGCCTCTGACTTCATCTCACTCAGCCCTTGAGAAGGCCCTTACCTTCTTCCCCTTAAGACAAGGTGAGCGGAGAGGACACCGCAGCTTTCTATAGTCAGGAAATCCACCACCTGTCCAGGTCTGGCCACAAATTGGGGGATTCTGGGTAAGTCCCTTTACATCTCTGACCATCAACTTTCTCCATTATATTATGAAAGTATAAAATTAGGACAGTCTTGCTCAGTGGTTAGAGCATCAGCCTGTGGACCAGAGAGACCTGGGTTCAGTTCCTGCTAAGAGCATATACCTTAGTTGCAGTTTGTCCCCGGCCCCGGTTGGGGTCATATGGGTGGCAAGCAATCGATGTGTCTCTCTCGCATCAATGTTTCTCTCTCTCTCTGTCTTCCTCCTTCTCTCCCTCCCGCTCTATCTGAAGATAAATGCAAAAATGTCCTCAGGTGAGGATTAAAAAAAAAAAATTAGAGTGTTCCAGCCGGCCCTTCCAGTATAGCCTCTGAGATTGTTTTTATAATCTGCCTGCGTAACATAGTAACACCTCCCTCATCTAGACCACAACACTAGCCATCTCCCCCCTTCCTGTCACCGCCCCCAGACCAGAAAAGGCCTCTGGGAATCCCACCAACATCAGATGTCAGCCTACTCGCACAGAAGGAAACACCCAGCTGTCACTCAAGACTGTGGATTCCTGCCTTGCACAGAGCCTCTAACTTGTTCATTCAGCTCATTTTCCAGAGTTGGTCAGGGGTTAGAAATCAGAAAGAGACGGGATGCCTGCTAAGAAAAGCATAGGGATGCATAAAGGAGCTACACAATTGCTGGAAGAGACACAAAGTACCACAGTCGAGCCTGGCCACTGTGGCTCAGTGGATTGAGCATCCTCCCATGGACTGAGGGGTCCCGGTTCGATTCCCAGTCAGGACACATGCCCGGATTGCGGGCGCAATCCCCAGTAGGGGGCGTGCAGGAGGCAGCCTATTGATGTTTCTGTCTCACGTGATGTTTCTCTCTCTCTAAAAAAATCAATAAAAACATATTTTTAAAAAGTACCAGTCTCAAGTACAACTTTGTTTCCCTCGGTGGGGTCGGAGAAGGTCAGTGTGACGTTGCACTGCGTTCCTGTTCGTGAATCCGGGTTATCTGTGAACACGCTTTGTCCTTTACAGACTGTCTGTCGGAAGCACGTGCTACTTTCCAGAAAAGCATTCACTCACAGAGGGGTTAAATGTAAGAAAAAGGAAACACCACCAAGCAATACATAATCCTTCAACTATTCACACTTGGCTCTCTGAAAAAATTCACATCTAGAACATCACCTCTGACCTCTCCGGGAGACCCAGGTTTTATTCCAGAATCGATTCATTTGAGCAAAGAACAGAGTGCAAAGTACTCGGTGCATTGGACTGTCTCAAAACGCGGGAGCCCGCTGCCCTGCACGCGGTCGAGAGGAGCTGCCCCGGAGGCGTCCTCCCCGGTGCCACCACACGTCACTCACCCGGCCCGCGGGACGAGACGCGCCTGTTTAGTCTGCTTTCCCTGCGCGTTCCTGACTCTCTCCGCTGGGCAATATTTGGGTTGGAAACGCCACAAAGGAATACTTGAAAAGTCTTTTCTCAACTATAAGTTCAATAAAAACATTTCTATGTATTAAGTTTTGCAAAATACACTTAACGTTCGGAGAGTTTGGATAGACAATGAGGCTTTTTTTTTTTTTTTTTTTATCCCTAGTTTACCGAGACCCCGGCAACAAAATGTTCTGTGGGTGAGGGTGAAGAACCAATTTTCCTCCCATCCCACCACCCACCCACGTCTGGTCAGCTTCAGGCCTAAGGAACAGCTTAGCTGCATGTGGTACAATGTAACCTGTATTACCTGACGGCCTCCTGTGTGCTGTGTGTGCTGGGATACAGCCCCTGCCCTGAAGGAGCAAATGAGATGCAATGTGGCAAACAGTGGCCTACACCTGCATTCGTGGAAGTGGGGATAAAGGAAACCGATTTGAGAGCTATGAGAGACGTAGAATTGGTAAGACTTGGGGAATGACTTAGATGAGTACAGAGGACAGACGAGTGGAAGCAGGTGCCCCAATGTCGGACATGGGCCGGGGGGGCCATCAGTGTTATTTGGTGACATGGGAAATTAAGAGGAAGAACATGTTGGGTGGGAGGGTGCAGTGCCCAGGTGATGGCTCACCTGGAGCATTTCGAGCTGGAAATGCCTGTGGGTCTAGACTCAGGAAGACCACCTGGGCTGGGATTGAGTTCTGTGGCCCATTGGCCTACGGTGGATACCTGGAGCCATGGGGATGGACAGTGTGGATAAACAGCGGGCTGCCCATCCATCCACCCTCTACCCACACTGTTTATCAGGAGTTCCTAAACATTCTGTAGTGTGCATGCCGCAAGTTTCCCCTACACGGTGAAAACCTCAAAGCTCTTTTTGTTAAAAAAAAAAACAAGAAGCAAAGACTGTGAGCCACTTTTGACATCTACCTAGACACACTATTTTTTTTTTTTTTTAATCCTCACCCAAGGATCTTTTTCCATTTATCTTCAGCTACTGGGGGTGGGGGGGCATTGATGTGAAAGGGACACATCAACTGGCTGCCTCCCACACGACCCCAACCAGGGCTGGGGACCAAATCGCAACCAAGGTACGTGCCCTTGACCGGAATCAAACCCGAGACTCTTTGGTCCGCAGGCCAACGCTCTAACCACTTAGCAGACTGGCCAGGGCGGCACACCATTTTTCCTACTCAGGGTCTCTGGCTGCACCGATGTCCCTCAGGCCTGGTCTTAGCTCTGCCACTGTGAACTCCGGCCTGGGAGACACTCAGAAGGTCCTGAATCCTCCGAAACAAGTCTGACATAATCCCAGCCTGGGCCTCTGGTTTACCATCAAAGGACGAGTGGGGCTCACTCTGCATTTCCCATGAAATGGCTAAAATGCTGCTTCATTAAACACTAAGAAAGAAACCAACACACGTCATGAAACAAATATCCCCTAATTTATGGATGGGGGGCGGGGGGGGGGGGCTCAGGCAAACTGAGAACAAAATGTTCCGTGCCTGCAGAGCATAAATCAGGAAAACGGAGGAGAAATTTTTGAAAACGGGTGCCGACGTGACATTTCAGGTCAGGTAGAGACTTCTGATCCAAGAAGAGGATTTGAGCTCAAATGCTTCATTCCACCCACTCATTCATTCCCCGCTGAGATCCTTCCATAGGGATCAAGAACCAACAGAAAAGACAGAAGATGGAAACCAAATCCATCTTCTTATTGCAGAAGGCAACACTGGAAAATGTAGCTCAGATGTCTGGGCCAGGAGCCACCTCCTACTGAACCCCACCACCACACAGTCCCAGCAGGCCCAGGAGCACCACCCTGGGCCTCACCCACAGTGCACACGCATGGCCAGGAGTGATTCTGGTCCCACGCTCTGCAGACAGGCCAAGTCCTGAGGGGAAGAGGAGAGGGAGGCACTTGGTCACACACACGCCCGTCTCTGAGCTCAGGGATCAGACCCTCACTTCTGCTCCATGGTGGTGTGAGAGGGAAGCTTGGGTTAGGCTCTTCTATTGTAAACTTGACAGTGCAGGGGTGGGGGTTTCACCCCAAACCGGAATGAGGGTGTGCTGAGCTTGAGCCAGGTGCAAAGTGGAGGCCCAGCCTCGGGGCTGCTGACATGGTCAAGAGCAAACAGCTAAACATCTCTGCTGGGTCCCCTGGTCAACCGCAGGCACAGGACTTAGCAGCTGGAAGGGTGAGCTTAAAAATCAACTTAACGCGCCCTGGCCGGTTTGGCTCAGCGATTAGAGTGTCAGCCCGCGGACCGGAGAGACCCGGGTTCGGTTCCCGCTAAGGGCACGTACCTCGGTTGCAGTTTGTCCCCGGCCCCAGTTGGGGTCATGTGGGTGGCAGCCAGTCGATGTGTCTCTCTCACATCGATGTTTCTCTCTCTCTCTCTTCCTCTCTCCTTCCCGCTCTATCTGAAGATGAATGCAAAAATGCCCTCGGGTGAGGATAATAAATAAATAAATAAAAACCAACTTAACATTAAGAATCACCAAGGCCATTTGCCAACAGTGTCATGTTTATTGGGCTACTCACGGGTCAGCTCCAACATGACAAGGGGGAAAGATCAGACGCCATCGGTCACGTCAAGACACGGAACAGTCAGCGTGTCCTCGTTTCGAGTTTTGCGCTTGGCAGTTCACTGACACCGCTGCAATGGGTGTGTTGAATTTTTAGCAAAACCAAAAGCACATCCACTTATTTAACCAATGCCTTTTTAGGGCAATAAGCAAAAAAAAAAAAAAAAGGAAAACTGCATTTTCATGTAGCTACAAGAAGAAAATGATTTATACACATTAAACGGATATAAAATACATTATAAAGGGAACATACATACAAAGGTCATTACGCTGGTCAAAGAGCAAGGACGCCACAGACCACCACGCGGGAGAACAGTGCGGTGGATGCATTCAGAGAGGAAAGTCCGTCCAGATCTTGAGTTACACGTTTACTGAGGTAAAGGCACAATCACGTCAACATAGTTAATGGGGAAGAATCCGGACTCCCCGTGCAGCATCCCTTCATACCAGTTCTCATCTATCTGATTGGTCAAGGTAATGATGTCCCCTTCTTTAAATCCTAATTCTCCTTGGTTTTCTGGCTCGAAGTCATAGAGGCCACGGCAGCAGGGCTGGTCCAGGGGAACCGTAAAACCTGTCCAGGTCACATGGAGACAAGAAACCACAAGTTAACAGGACAAATCAGTTATCCGTGGGGAACTGGCAAGGTGGAGGCTGGGAGAGACCAGGGACAGCAGACCCTCGCCTGCCTTCCCCAGCGACACGGGCGCTGGGGCCACATCCCCCGGCTGGCTGTAGGCTCTGTCCTGCTCAGCTGTCCCGGCTGCCCCCCCTGACTCCCGGAGCCGGGGACCCTCACCAGTTCTCCGGGCCACAGCCCAGCCCTCCGCCTTGAAGCAGCTGTACCGCCGCCCAGAGCCCCTGGGACATCCAAGCGCAAGGCCCCGCCCTCAGGAGCTCCCAGTTTCTCGGTGGAGACCGGACAACACAGGGAGAACATTTAAAGGACAAAGAGGAGGTAGAAGCACTCATAGCTCAGAAGCTCAGAAGAGAAGAAGGCAGGAAAGGCCGGGATGGTCCAGGGTCGGGGACGCCGCCCCAGAGGGGGTGGCCAGGAGCCTGAATGGTCACAGACCAACCTGACCTCTTGGGGTTATTGTGGTGATTGACGAACCCGGAAGTTCTCAGAATAACACATTTTAAAAGAATTACTTTTTAAATTTCAAACTAAAACCTGGTAATAGTTAAAATACATATATATATATACACACACACACACACATATGTGTGTATATATATATATATACACAAATGTGTGTGTGTATATATATATATGCAAAATTAAGGAAAGTCCACTGTAAACCACTAACCCAGAGATAACCAAAGTTAAACTCATATTTTGGCGTTGACATTTCCAGATATTTTTATTAATATATTTGTGTATGCATTTACATAGTTGTCTTCATAAAAGAAGCTTCCTGTATACATTATAGTGAACGTCTTTTGAGATTATTTTTAATGACTGACCAGTTGTCAATCATAGTACTGTAACATCATTTCTTTATCAATATATCATTGGGTATTTGAGAACCGTCCTTCCTCTCTCTCTTCTCTCTCTCTTCCTTCCTTCATTCCTTCCTACTCTTTCTTCTGTTTTCTCCTGCTTTCATGGATGACTGCAGAAAGTACCCTAATAGACGAATGTGTATTTACAAATGTGTATTTACAAATGTGTACCATTCATTCCTGAGGGTAAGTTTTCTAGAAGGGACTATGCTATTCCTACAACATAAATTTTTCCAAGACTTAACATTTATTATCGATTTGTTTTTCTATCATGGTTTACATTACAAGTTGTAGGAGCTCCTGTTATACTATAAATATTAAGCCTCCATCTGTCGTGTGTGATACAAACATGATCCCCAGCTTATCATCTGTTTTTTTTCATTTGGTTTTAGGGAAGAGGGTTCTGGTTTTTGGCACATACAGAAATTATAAACAGCATAACCAGTCAACCTGCTCAAATGTCTCATTCATGCTTTCTACCTTTAGACATAAACGTTCAACTAAATGTACCCCAATTTTTTAAATTTAATTTTTCACATGAGTTTTTTTCTTTGAATCTATGTAGAATTTGGCAAATAAAGGTATCATTAATTATAATTAGTTTCAGCTGCTATCTCCACCCATTTTACTAAATAATCCATTCTTTTCCCACTGATGTCAAATACTTTTTCATCTTTTTCATATATTTAATTATCATGAGCGCTCAGACCTATTTTAAGTTTCCTCTATTTTGTTTCACTGATCCATTTCGGTCACTATCATATCATTGAAAATACTGTAGCTTTAAAATATGTGTTGACAGATAGTAATGCAAATTCCTCCTCATTACACTTCTATTTCAAAATTTCCTATTCTCACAAAACCACTCAACCAGGTAAACTTCAGTATCAAGTTTCTCCCACAAAAATCTCATTTTGATTTTAACTGGATCATACTTTTTCAGTAATGGTAAGGTTGATGTTATAAGAGTCTTTTAAAATGAATGACCATCACATGTGCTAAAGAAACTACACATTTATGTGTTGTATTTTCATGCTACAGTGAGACTGAGTTTGTTAGTATTTAAGAGTTTTGCACCCTGGCCGGTTTTGCGCAGTCGTTAGAGCATCGGCCTGAGGACCAAAGGGTCTTGGGTTCGATTCCCAGTTAAGGGTATGTACTTGGGTTGCAGGTTCAATCCCCAGCCACGGTCAGGGTGCTTGTGGAAAGTAACCAATGGATGTGTCTCTCTCCCATTGATGCCCCCCCCCCCTCCACTTCCTCCTTTCCACTCTCTTTAAAATCAAGGGAAAAAATATCCTCGGGTGAGGATTAACAAAAAAAGTTCTGCATCTGTATTTAAAATGAAATTACTTCGGTCAGGTTTTGGTATCAGAGCGTGTGAACATTATAAAATAAATTAAATCCTTCTCTTTGCTAAAATAGTCGAACTTGGCCCTGGCCGGGTAGCTCAGTTGGTTGGATCAATGACCTGATACACTACAGTTGCAGGTGTGATCCCCGGTCAGGGCACATACAAGAACCAACCATTGAACGCATCAGTAACAAATGGAACAACAAATCTATGCTTCCCCTCTCTCTCTTCCTCTTCTCTTGCTCTAAAATCAACCAATAAATTAAAAATAAAGTAACATCGTCGAACTTGAAGATGTGGCAATAAAATTTTTTTTTTTTATCCTCACCCGAGGACATTTTTCCATTTTTTGTACAGACAGAGTGGGAGGGAGAGAGAGGGGGAGAGAGAGAGAGAAACATCGACGTGAAGGGACACATCAAGTGGCTGCCACCCGCACGACCCACCAGGGCCGGGGACAAACTGCAACCGAAGTACGTGCCCTTAGCGGGAACCGAACCCGGGTCTCTCTGGACCGCAGGTGGACATTCTAACCGCTGAGCCAAACCGGCCAGGGCATGGCAATAAAATTTTTGCCCGAAGTTATCTAGGCCTTCAGACTTCTGAGCATGGAATGTTTCTAGGATGGTTATGATAATGACTGAGTATCGGGGAAGACGTCGTCCCCCCGACTCGTTTGCTGAACCCTCAAAGGAGACACATGGCCTTAGGGGTTCCCATAGTTCTAAACCACAGGCGGGTACACTTGGGGAGCAGTGCCTTGAACACAGAACACTAGTAACGCTAGGTCACCTGGAGGTCTTCCACAAACCCTCCGGTCTGAAAAGGAGGCAGTAATTCCTCCAACAGATCACAGCAGCCTGACCCAGGATCTACGTCGAAACCAGAACAAGGCACCAGGCTCCAGACCCCAGCCCGCGCCCTGTCCTCCTGCTGTCACCTCCTACGTGACCTATGACACTGCTAAGGGAGGCCGGACACTGTCCCGCTAACTACGGGGCTGCTGAGACACGGCCTTGCCTCCCCTTCCGTAAGCCACCTGCATTGACTGACATAAACACCCCTTCCGGGCCGGCACCCACCTGAGCCACCCCACCTGTGCACACGCGGCCGCTCCCTGCACACTCACGCCAAGCAAATCGGGAAAGACACAGGTTACTCGCGAGGGACGTGGCCACGCTGCCGCGTGGATCTTCTAAGAGCGGAGAAGCGACCGACACTCCTATCACACACTCCATCAGCCAGCGACCCCGCCACGCAGCATCTGCCCGAGCACACGGCGGGGAGGGCCCTGGGCTCTGAGTCCGGGAAGGGCCGAGCGCGGGCCTCCCCAGCGTGGGCACCGGGTACAGCCTCACCTACCAGCGCTCAGGCGTGTCCTGGAGCGCACACCCTGCTCACGAACACAACAGGCAATGTTTAGCTGTTCAGTTCCCAAAGAAGACCGTTTCGGGTGTGCGGCGCTGGGGGAGCCAGCATCTTCTGGCTTCTCTGTATCAGAGCCAGACGGGTTTTCCTGAGACCTGACAGGGACTCGCCAAGACTCCCGGGTCCCAAGGAGCCAGAGCCTGAAGAACGCAAAGCGCAGAGATGATCTGACAGCTGTGAGCGGGGAGGGCTGTTTCCTGCCACCCGGAGAGGAGACAGAAGATCTTCCTGGAGGCTTGGGAAGGGACGAGGGTGAGCCAGAAGGTTGGGGTGCTCCCTGGACTCCACCCTGGGGGATGGGATCTGAGGCCCCACTTCCCCCGGAACTCTGGGGCTGGCCGAGCACAGTGAACATGGAAAGAGGGGGCCCGAGCGAGCCACCCCCGTCTCCCCATGAACTGTGACCACATCTCCGCCGAGGAGGCCGCCGGACTGCAGATGGCCAGGGGGTAGGCTGAGAATGCACAGATGTCGATGCTGGCCGGACGGCTCAGCCGGTTAGAGCATCATCCTGACACGCCAAGGTCGCAGGTTCAATGTCCAGTCAGGGCACATCCAAGAATCAACCAACAAATGCAGCAATAAGCAGAACAGCAAATCAATGTTTCCGTCTTCTCCCTTCCTCTTTCTCTCTAAGATCAATTTTTAAAAAGAACGCAGGTACCTGGCAACCCAGAGGCGGAGGCTCGGGCCACAGACCCAGGTTGCTACCTCGGCTCGGACGCGGGGAAGACCTGAACAAGCCTCCTCCCTGCCGCCCCCAGGCAACATCTCGGGGCGAGACGCGGGAGAACACAACACCCCAACGAGGACACTCAGCTGAACCGACGGGGTTTCGGTCCTGAATGGACAAAGTAATCAACGGATAACCTACGCTTTCTTTTGGAAGAGACCAAGTTACCGTGACATTGCAAGATGACATTTTTTTCCCCGTCATTAGGAGCAATGGAAAAAAGATTAATTTTTTTTTAGGCCAACTGTAGAAATGGAAAGAAGATTAAGTTCCTTCTGAGATGGAGACTCCTCGTCATGTTCAGTTAAAGAGAAATGAAGTGTCCGTCGCCCTGAGTGACCGTGTGACTTTTCCCAGTGAAGGAGAAGTCGCCGTCCCCAGGGATGGGACCCGAAAGCGCAGGCAGAACCAGCTCCGTGGGTCTTTCAAACTGGAAGCAACATGAGCACGGGCCAGGTACCCGCACACCTCGCTCACCTGGGCCCTGCCCCGTGGGACCCCCTCTGCCTCCGCGCGCTCTCGGGCGCAGCAGCTGGCACCGCACATCTGTGGG